CTTGGTCATTGTTACCGCATCCTGGTGGGCTTCATCATTCCTACCAGTTAGTTGTCCTCAACTCCTACGCAATTCTATACAACACCATGTGAATCCTCATAGTCAACACTACAAATAAACCAAAAGAAATAAAACTTCACCCCCAATAATAATGTTACTTACGGCCCTCAGGACCTGCTGGTAGTGAAATATTCAGTCTTCTCCGGAGCGCAAGATAGCAAGCTGTGGAACAAACAGCCACTAAAGGTAGGGGCGTATACAAAAATAACTATCTTACGAACATGCGTGCAAACCCGCCTCATTGGAAGGAATGAGTTAAGGATATCAGTTTGCTAACAAGGTAGATATATCAAAAGCACATGGCCCAGGATCGTATAGACATATATACAGCTAAAAGCTGGTAGTTAACCAATTCTTTTAGGTAGTACATAATCACATCTAGCTGTGCCATTTATTTCCCCTACTAATCCCTCGTAACCTATTATTCTTTGATCATTTCAACACGACAAAGTAACTAGCTGTACCACATGTTTTAACCCTCACTCTTGTCTGCTGCCGATATTGGTTGCGCAGAAAATTGGAATTCAGTGGTACACACATTCTTACGGAATGAAGAGTTGTAGGTGATCAGAACAGTGATTTGTTGACTTCGTTGAACTTAGGTTGTAACATTTTATAGCCTGAAGACTTCTCAAGATGTGGTAAAGTACGGAAACGATAACATCAATTCCAGGGAAACTGCTAGTATCTCGCTTAAGGGAATGTATATATTTCGCATTATTTCTCAAATTGCGTTGGTATAAGAACATCTCATTAAATACCTAATTCTTATTTCGAAATGAGCAAGCGTTTAGTGCTCCATTTAATTTGGTGATGCTGCAGTTCGTCACTGGCTAAAATGAAAGATGTTTTGAAAAACTACGAGTAGAAGCTGTGTTGTATCCTGGTATTCACACAATGGCTTGTTCTTTTGTAGGTTCATTGGCACTCATAATATGGGAAAAGCTGTGAATGGTAACCATCGATTTCCGGATCAAATAAAGCTTGGTGTTTTAGCGTGGTAAGTAAGCTTTCCTTCTACCAAATTGTCCTTGCCTCAATCCTCTGACTGTTTGCTTGATACCATGTTTGACACGCAATACTATGGCTTATCAGCACTAACATCTTAAATGCCAAAGCCGTTTTGCCCTAATTAGTGTCGACATTTTGCTTTCTGGCACGCTTCTTTTTCAGTCAGGCAGCAAGTCGGATGTCAGTGGAAAGTTACTTGAAAAATGAGGTTGGTTTGCAGTAAGTTAGAAGCACACTAGAGTGTGAGTGGTGCGACATTTCACCGGATTGGGCTGGATCATAAGGTATGGTATTATTTTGTAGCTGGTGGTCAAGTTTTCGCAGTTCTACCCGGTTTGCTTACCTCTGTTTGAGGCAATCAAGAACAAGTTAAAATAAGATTTCGGTACAAGTTTCTTGTCACACACACTACTCTCTCCAAAGCTGTACCATAAAAGTTGCATCCAAGTATCGGGAGTTTGTTTCAATAATTCAAGGAATTATACTCCATCCACATGAATAAACGACGACACCCCTGAAGCGTGTTAGTAGTTTCCTTATACTGGGAGCCGCTAGTCATGAGGATTCCTTCTATAAAACTCGAGATACCACGTTTAGAGTGCAAGCATTGTTGTTAATCAGCCACTCATTCAACGTAATTTAGGCTGAAGTGCTAATTCATGTACAAATGAACGTACAATGCATCTGTGTGTTTTAACTACAGTAGAAAGCACAGAGCAGAAAACCATTTTAGAAAAAAAGCATGCGATAGGTAGATACAGAGTGGCAGAGAATTCGGTCATTCATTTGAGCTTTCTTGTCATTCCCTAATTTGTGGTAACGCGAAGCGTCAGTGTATGCCCAAGTGAAGTTGCTAATTTCGCCGTATTTGTTTCTTAATATTCACGTCTAATTGCTTCGGAGCCCATCTTAATCCAATGTTCCGAATGTACCTTAGCGCTTGCCGGTCTAAGAAAATTTTATTTAGATAGCTTAGCACAAACGTTCCACTGGCACTGGCAACTACTGTAACGCATAACTCTAACGACATATCCTTTTGCATAACAGATTTGGTCACAGTCATTTCCACCTTTTATAGACCTCCATTTCCAACCCCACTCGACAATATCCATTAACTGCTATGATTGGATAAATAATTTGCTCCTTTTTGTGCAAGTGAAGGAAACGGCCGGTGGATCTAGAAACTTTAAGCTCCTCACAAGTTTAGGAGGCTTACGCAATGGTGATAGCTCAGAGGGGTCGTCGGGACGATCCAACCAAAGCCAGACAAAGAGCCCATATTCCAGACAGGTCAGTACAACCTAATCAGGCTTTTACCCCCCCCCTGCCAGTTTAGGCCTCAGAGGTGCGCTGCGGATTAAGTCTTCCGATGGCATACATCAGCGGCACCAAACCACACCAAAGAAGCTAGTTAAACCAGGGTTAGTTTAAAGTAGTGTTTATGGGACTATGATACTTCTACAATCACTGCAGACAAAGCTGGTGTCCACGTAGTTCCTGTGGAGAAGTAGACCAGGCATATGTACCACACCATTCTATCAACAGACAACAAACATGGCAACTGTCATTAAGGATGTCGGTTTATAAATAATTCGGAGTAAACTCCAGCGGGTAAAATTTTCCTATTTCAGTTCGTTAAGTGATCCGCATTTGCAGTGAATTACGAATATTACGAAAGATGCAGGAAGTAATATTGGCCTCGCACCCATACTTTGTTGTCAATTTATGTCTTATAGGTACCCTTAGATGAACACCATCATAAAATTCAAGAGCGTGTATGTAGGCTTTATCTTGATATTCCTTTTCCGAAAACATTAACATAGAAAGCAACTGTTTGAACCGAAATTAGTTCTCACTCTATCTTAAGCTTACCCATCAGCTTTCCTCAAAAGCTGGATCTTTTAGATATGCCATGTATGCATTCATAGAAGTAATCCATTACATCCTATTATACATCCCATACAAAAAACTAACAGAACCAGATATGCCTACTTTAAACTTTTGGTGAAATGGACGATATAAATAAAGGTTGGTTTCCATCCTTACATCTGAAAGGACAAGTTCTGCTTAACTCAAGCAGTAAGGTATGTATAAAACATGATTTGTACTCAATTTCCATGGTCCTCCAAACTTGTAGCTAGTAGCATTCAACGGGAAGCAACAAGACTTGTCAGCAGTCAAATAAATTGGGGAACTTTTTGGAAGTTTTGTTAAAATATCTAGTGGCTCAGCTATTTTCGAAAGCAGTGGAAGGTGGTACGAGCTAAAGGACTAAAGAGAAGAGTCAAATTACTTTATCGGTTATTCTGTGAAATTATTCACAGAAGCACGGAAACTCCATTTCCCTACTTAGGAATAATTTAGTTTGGATAAATAAGAATTTATTGTGGTTTGGTAAGTAATGAAACTAAGAAGTGATTTGATGACTGAATGCCGTATAAATGAGCTAAGTAGAGGAACACAGGTAGCATAATAACATATGAATGAAAGGCGGGAAAGGACGCTATTATAGGGATAAAAATCAATTAACTGCGCGCACCTTTATTAACAAACCATGGCAACTTAGTTCGACGACGAATTCGGACCATTTCAGGAAAGAATTAGCAAGACATTACCTCCATTGCTACCATGACAGTGCACTTGGTAGGTAGGACTCTGCGCACCATATTTCAGTCCACTGAAAGAGAATCTGATCTCACGGAATGACCTCAATCGGTTCGGTACGGCCGAGTGGCAAAGTGCGTTAAGACCGAGTATCCACACTTAAGTGTCTCCTCAACGATCGCAGATAATTGGAATCCAGACTAAGACCGATTTCCCGATAGTTGGTTCCGTAAGAATTGGAGGAAACACTGAAGCCGATTGGCAGAGGACGAACATGTGGATATCATAGTCAACTGAATATTACTGGGAAAGAAACGGAAAAAATGGATTTATGAATGGAAGCAAACATTATCAACAAAGCACGTTCTCATAAGTTTGAAAACTTTCAAGCAATGTTTATTTACTTTTAAAATCTTACGAGTTGGGTACTAAAGTGCTAAGTACAGAGGCGCAAAGTAGTGTCGACCAAAACTGCACACAGTAAGAAAATGGATACGGACACGGAGTTCGCAATGGCTACGACGGCCACCGATGGATTACCGGGAAGTAAGGTTGAGGTCAGGTCAATGGTATACAATGAGGAATTAAGTCGAGGAGTTGTCTTGGCGGTGGCGGTCTAAGAATAACGTCGCCGCGTCGTAACGGCTCGCCTACTGCTCAACGCCTAGCGCTAGCACTATCGTAAAAGATAAAACTGACATCCTGTTTGCATGTACCCTAAATGTACAGGCATATGATAGCAGCTAAACGAAGATCAAATGCTTTTATAAGTAAGTTCGCAGTGAGAACTTCTTCCTAAGTACTATCGCTCGTCTGCATGCGAGATTCTGCCAATGAGGCTGTGTTCCGGTCTTATCAATTCCGAACAGGAAAAAAGGAAACGATGAGTTATCGCTTTTCTTTTACTCTAGGTATAAAATGCTCAGTCTGACATACATGCGGTTACCAACTTCACAAAAGCATGCAAACCAAATTACTTTAGGCTGTAAGGGCTGTGTGTACAGCTTAAACAATTTGCCACCAGGTCGGTCGCGATTAAGTGTCAACTACTTCAGAGGATTTTTGTGCTGCAACCAAATGATAAGGCTGCACTAAAGTAGCCAAATTGTGACAACCAACATACTCCGCCAGTGGATGATAAAGAATAGGAGAAACAACATGCTGACTGATCTAAGCGTTTTGTCCACAACTCAATAACCACCGCTGCTTGCGGACTACCTACTCCCGAGTGAATTCGATTGATTCTCATTGGCTAACCGCCTTCGCGCATTGATTGGCTTGCCACCCCAGACAGTCATGTTTGGCGTTGTTCTGTTTTCTTTCATGGTCATCAGGCGAACCTGCGCCAGGAGTTTACGTGCTCGTCCAAAGCACCGATGGGCTAATGCCTGGAGATCGGGTGTTTCGCAGGATTAAAGATTCGGATATATATTCACATGAAATGTCTACATCGCAGACACAAATCAACAGATCAGACTAACAGGCTGGTAAGATGGAAATGAGTACTCTATTAAGACTTACTTTTGCGCAAAGGGCGATTTTTGACACTACACATCAGTTAACATTCATTGTCTGCATTCTATTAATTGAGTGCCAGTTCATTTTTTCCGCATAATTTATTCCCCTTGCATCTCGGACGAAGAATGATCTACCCCTGGGGTACTCTGGTTTTTACATTTTAGTGTATCCTGAAACGTGATCTCTTAATATTCAGCTGTATTAATGAGAATATATTTAGTGGCTTCACTTTGGCACTCGCACATGAGGCATAATTATTTCCATAAAACTGCCATCCTATACCATCCACTTAAACCGAGTACACAAATATTATAATCCCATCGCAACGAAATCGCAGCGTATCTCCGAGAGTATGTTTCTGTATCTTCATTCGTTTCCACTAAATTATTTCCACCACAAAGCATTACCTTGTACAAAAAATCATGTTTCATTCAGTACCTAAGTAGATTAGTATTCCTTGCAGATGGTAACTATTTACGCTGTATCAAACGCGTAATAAATTATTTTGGACTGGCCAGTAGTTTCTAGGCTGAGAACAGCGCTGGTAGATAAATAAATAAATGGTATCTTTATCTACAACGTGAGACACAGATAGTCTAAGTGGTCCAATCTTTCTGTAGAAAATAATCGGATACTGGAGAAATTTTGTTTGAGTTTTTGGATGTGACTCCCAAAAGTGATTTGGGAGTCCTGTCAGTTAAATTATCAAAAGGACAGTAGTTGAAAGTATAACTAAATGGACATATAGCCAGCAGTTCAAGTAAAGTAGTACTCAGATAAGGTGTACTCGATTTGTACGCTGTTACGCAACAAATGGTCATAGTAGGATTCCTTTCTAATTACTCCACTTCCACCTGTATATGATCAGAGGACTAGGCATGGTATATGTGACCAATTAACTAATCTTCTTGGTAAAGATGAGGCTTCTTCGGAATAGGAGCACTACCAGTTATTCTTCCATACCGGCTCACCGTTGTTTCCTTTTACTCAGTTGTTGATCATCTGGTTGCACCTGTGACTTAGAAAATTCGCCTTTCCAACGTGATATAAATTACCAAGATCATCCTTCCAGTTCTGGTATATCCACTCCCAGTATCTAAGAATGCGAGCGTAATTGAATAAATTTAGCTGTCGCGCGTTAGTTAATCGGTCACTTAGATGTCGTATTCTCCGAAACATTGCCATTAGTTACGCGGGTATCTTCGTACTTTCATCAATTCTTTTGTTCAACCTTGCACTTGAACGCTCTCCTTCATTATCAGATATCTCGAATTGGCCTTCTTTTCACTCTACTCAAGCTGTACACGCAGCTAAACGTAGTCAGCATCCAATCTTTGCTCTACACTACGTTCAAAGTGACAGTGATTATAATGAGTCCAGCAGCTTTATGGTTCTAGCTAGGCTGCACAATTCACCCCTTACAGTACTCAGCGCCGTGCTTCCGAACAGTGCATCCAAAATTGTTATACGTCAAAACCAACCGTCTGCTGTCACTGTCAAGCATGACTCACCATCAGTGGAGTCTGCCGCCGCTCACTCACGTCTGTTTTCTCTCCACACATATAAACACACACGGCTACAGGATAAAGTATGCTGACAACAAATCGATCGGGTGAGTAGTTTCAGTTCGCGGCCTGTGAAGCTTTTTCGCTAAGTGCGAAGTGATTTCTATTATTGTCATTCATATTAACTAGAAATTGGTGAATTCAGTGATGGGGTTAGTCTGTGATATCTTGTGAGCTATTAGCAGGAGCAGTCGGTCAACCATTTGGCTTAAGTTCACCAGGTGTATGTCAACGCAGCATTTTACCCTGCGTTTGACCCTTAGGCACCTGCTGCTTACCAACGAAGTCCTTGTTTCAAGCCCACCGCGTCGGTGTGTGTTGTTCACTTCAGCTAGTAAAAGCCAGAAGTTAAAGCAAAAGCAAATTGATGCTGGCTGTATTTCCGCAGTGCTAATATGCGTCCGTCTCCATTTATTAGGATTGTTATTATGCTTACAGTTTTATTGGCATAACACGGGGAAAGCTTGCCACTTGAAACATTGCAACACCAATTCTTTTAGCAGCATCAGACTATGCGTGACGTCTGGTTTGGTACGGATCAAGGTTTTGTCAGTGTCTAGTTTGTCTGTCGCATTTCAGTCGGTGGTCAGGAAATATAAGCTAGACTGTCAGTGCCTAGTGTTTCGCGGTACTGTAGTATGCATCCTCCGCAAACTAGTCTGCTGAAGGACTAAGGTGCCCTCCGTGTAGCCAAGTAGCTATTAATTTCAACATTATGCCGTCTTCACGTGAAGGAAATATAAACCAGACATACGGGTCCTTCGGGGTGCTTTGGAGACCAGAGACTGTAGTTTGTTTTTTCTTTGTTTAGACGCATAAACCGTCTAGGTAGTACATTGAACCTTGTATTTAATTGGAATAAGACCTGAAGATTCACATAACCAATAAGGTGTAAAGTGTCAACGTTGGGTCTTATGAAACGGTCAAGCAAACTTATAGCGGGTCAGACTCGCATGTTAGCTGTATCTTCATCGGGCACACCAGTTCAAGCTGGACACCCCACCACGCCCTGTGATACAACTAAGGAAAGAATTAGGTAGAGTAACAAAGGAAGAGTCCATCAGCATGTAAATCGGGTGTTGAGGTAGAAGAAAAATAGGTTGCTGCTTCAGGGGGAGACGGTTGGATTTAACTAGGGCTAATCTGGGATATGAGGTACCGAAGAGTGGGTGTTTGTTTCAGGGGAGAGCGTAATTTAGTTCGGTAAGATGACGGTCCACACGAGTATTGAAATCGGGTACAGCAGATACCTAGACCAATTCTGTAAACAAGGCGTTCTATGGGCCGCAGGCTAGCAGAGCGAAGCACTATCGCCTACAATTCAGCTGGCTGTGCTGGAGTGGGTTCCCATGAAGTTGGGAGCATGAGCCGTGGTTATAAACACAAGGACCAAGTCGCCCCGAAGATATCGGTATTTCAGCGAGAAGCGACAAAGGCGATGAAGCCGTTGTGGATACTCCAAGTATCTGAGACCGCGTACTAATTTTGTCGGCCGACGTGGGGATCTTCAAGTTTACGCAGATCTTTGAGCAACCAAGGGCTCCAATCTTGGGTAGTAAACTCTAAGTGAGGTCGAAAAAAGCATTTAGAATGATGCGGAAATTCCACTGGTCAGTTTGGCCGCATGAACATCATAACAGTCGCAGCATGTAGTTAACAACAGAGGCTGCTTTTCGGCAGGAAGCAGGTACAGAAAGATTGATTTGGGTGGTGATACCCAAATCACTTTTCGGCTGACGAGACCTGGAGAACGGACCCTCCTAGGAAATATATTGTCAAAGCCATAAGGCAGATGAAGAGGACGCGACTTTTTGAAGCCTTAAACGGAAGTTTGCTTTTCAGGGATCACTCGTGCAGACGGTAGGTGTCCCTTGGAAATGTGTGCGTGTCGTCCGGAGCATTAATTGCACACTATTGCTTAGCGTCACCTGCATACAGCAGCGAACATGACTCGACTTATGCTGTGACATCGTCAATAAAGCATAAGAAGCAGTCCGGTCTGAGCACAGAGCCCTCTGGAACTCCGCTTCTTGCAAGGATACGGGAAGACAGCTCTCTGTCTACGCCTACTTGGACGGTATGTGGCTGAGGTAGTTCCGGATCCAGTCCATCAAGGCCTCAGATATATCGTAAGACAGTAGCTTGTTCGTTATGATGGTGTGGTCGACGTCAAAAAGTTTGTCGAAATCCAAGAAGATACCGTGCGTTTCTAGGCCGGTGTCAGCAACAGTCCCTCAGCTATGCCGGCTGATTAGCAGCTTACTCAGGCATGACTCTTGCCAACCGAAGCTGTGCTGGCAGTCGAAAACCAGTTTCTGAGCCTCAATGTGGTCCATTAAAGCATCTGCGATGGTCGATTCCGTCACTTTGGAGATCGTATAGAGAAAAGGTAGTGGTCACTGATTACCGGATGTTTACGCGCCCCACCTTTGTAAATTGGCGTTATGTGACCGCATCTCCAATCGTTGGGAACTTTACCATACGAGAATAAGCGGGTGAACAGTTCCGCTATACGTAAAGATAGAGCTGCAGCGCACGTTCGTAGGAGCCTTGGGTGGAAACCATCTGTGCCTGGGAAGGCTGTTGGCCACAGGGATTTGAGTTTGGGTAGGACCTACAACGGAATGAACTGAACAGTTATCATGGACGTTGAGGATGAGATCGGAGAAAGCGCCATCGTCGTAGGGACCTAGGGAACAGTAGATGAATTTGCGTGTTACTGACACGGGACCTCGGAGGCCTCGTTCACTGATTTTGTGAACCCTATGCAGGTCGTCAGCGCAGCGACACTGTGTTTGACATATCTAAGACCGCCGACGTGACTATACAGGGGTTTTGCATTTGATGAGAATTTGCGTGCAAGTTGACACTTTTGCTCATTCTCATCTTTCCGTACAAGCTCGGCGCATTGGTTACGGAAAGTCAGTAGGCTTTACAGTGAGTAGCTGTCGGACGGAAACGTTACGTTCTCCATGCCGTGCCCCTGCGGGCAATCCATTACCGGGCACGACTTCAGATGGTTCTGAAGCGTTGCTTCCCTATGAAAACTTGTTTGCGGGTCGTGGTTGTGGAGCATAATTAATACAGGATTAAGCAATATTTTGACTAAGCGCATCAAAATGATAGTTCAGCTTTGAAAGTGTTCAGTACACGCACGTAGTACTCTATGCGTCAACATAGCAGATGATGGGAGAAGTTGAAGAAACACTTCTTGACCAAGAAACACTTCGATTGCTGTTGGCATCGAATAGTTGACCAAGCGCTGTAATAGCGGACGCGTCAGGGGTATGGTTTTCAAAGTTACTTTTAGCCACTAACTCATAAAAATTGCTTAACAAGTCAGTAGCTACTGTTGAACGAATAGCAGAGATTCCTCATAAATACTCAACTTAAGCAGATTTGCAGGCCAAATCCATGTGGATTCACAGTGCTAGACGCTTGACTCAGTCTAGATTTGTTAGCCTCGACGAAGAACCGGTAGCTATCATTTAGAAGATGCCAACAGAACTACATTTTCTCAGTATTACTCTCTGTTGTTAGTGGCACAGATGTCCAATAACATTATATTAGCATCTGTTGACTAATAACACAATAAATCAGCAATAAAATACTAGTGACTTGCCTTTCTACTTCATTTTGGTTTCAAAAGTATAGTGCTTGAATCAACACAGTTTCAGAGAACTTGAGATTAGAAATAGCCAACCACGTATATTTTGAATCATCTAAGAAACATAACGTTTTGCTCATGGTTGATTAACATAGCAATGGCAATACGGCTATGTATGAAGTGGCATGGTGTATGAAGGGCATGGTCAAAAGTCATACCCAAGTTCCTGTAATTCGGTGGGCTCGAAAATTAGGAATGCCCCATTGAGTCGAACCTATATTTTCATATTATAGCTTTAGTCAGTGTGTTCCTAAGCGAAGGAAACTTTTGGTTCGATGCTTGTCAGAGCGTAAGACTTAATTTAATGAATCCTTGGGGAATTTTCATCAAATCCCAAGTGCATTTCGCTTAAAAGTTGGTTTGTTCTTCACCAACCTGATTAAGTAGGGTGCCATTTCCTATGGATTGCAATGCTAACCGAGAACATCAGATTGTTTTAATCAAGGGCCTTTATTTCCAGCCAATGGACTGCGTCAACATAGCTAGAGTATAAATTGCGTAATTTAGGCGTCTTTCACAATCCTACCATTAAGCCAACCTGAGGACTGTAAGACTACTTATCCTGTAAAAGTTTAAACAAGCTAAATGGCTATTGTCTATTTGCACTAGTTTATTCCTTCCGAATAAAACCAGGATTTAAGTTCTAAAAGGGTTTTAAATCAAAACGACTACAGGACGGTTCAAGCTTTTCAGAGAACAGAGATGCTATTTGGTTAATTGCAGCTGGATGCGTAAAGTGATCATTGTCCTAGGTATAGGTAGAGAACACTCGATCTCAATACCAAGAAATGTTGTTGATGAACTAATGTCTACTTTTTCGAACAATTAGCATATAGAGTCAGGAGGAACGGGAGTTAAAATGTGGATGTTTGATAGTTCGTGGATAGTAGTGTTTGCGTAAACCGGTGTTGCTGATTGCTTCATGATCAGAAATTTCTCTACAAAAGCTAGGTACTTATTTAGATGTCCGTGCTTTGAAGTGGTGGCGCTCTCAGCTCGCAACCTGTTTGACACCGATGTAAATCTTTCGGTGATGTGAACGCTTACCAGTTCGAGAGTGTCTTTTGTTTCTGTAATAAACAGATGCCTTTACTTTTAACCGAAAAGTGCCCTCCTGATAATTCGTAAACAAATTACAGTCTTTGAAATTACGACCGGTATTTGGAAAACTGCACTCAAAGGCTGCTGGTGACAAAATATACTGAAAATATTCCTGTCCAAGGAAAATTAATTTGTTACCTCAGTTGTTTTCGGGCACAGCTCTGGAGGATTCACCCATATGGGTAATGCTTGGTGAAAACTGTTTTCTATAAGGTCATACGAATCTGTTGTCCTAAGTTGCTAAGGACTAAAGAAGTGATTTACTCCAGCCCCTGCTCT